AGAATAGGCACTGCGGCATATAGAATATGCCTGAAAAGCTTATCTATCCATTCCTAAGAGGTATATTTATAGCCTTTACAAATGGTAGGTTTATAATCGTTTGGGCTCTCCTTTTTAGGAGGCTCATTCCTAAAATAAAGCCTTAAACCTATTCTATTTAATAAGACTGTGCGCTTTTTACATCAAAGTTACTAAAAATGTTCATTTTAATTTTTTTAGTGGAATCAATAGAAAATTCGAATGTTTTTAACAATTGACCGATCTATTTAATCAATAAGTAATTTGATACGAATGAAACAAGTTTCAATCTGGTATGTTTCTTAAAACATTACTATATTCAAGTTCAATTCCCAAAAAATGTCACAAGTTTTACAAATAGATAAATATTTTGACTTACAAGATAATAAAATAAAAAAAAATTTACAAATGTCACCGTTTATTACTCTCCCCTCTCATAAAACTTGATCAATTCGACTTTTCTTAGTCAGACATAAGTTTTGTACAATAATTTGTTATCATATTTATGTGAAACTTATAATTTTCAGGTTTTTTAATCACGAATATTTTATATAATTTTCATATTTTAAATAAATTATAAAATATATAATCGGTGGAACTTAATAATCAATGATCAAGAAAAGATAAAAGTGCGCTTCTTTTTGGACCAATGGATAGAAATGCTGTTTTTGTCAAAAGCAAACGCAGTAAAATGTAGCGCTAATGCTTGGGGTGGGCACGGTCCGGTCCGATCCAATATTTGATCGAACCCGTACCCGTACAATGACTATTGAAACGGTTCGGTTCGGCTCGGTCTTAGATCTAAACCCATTCGGTATGGTCCATTTTCAAACGGGACGCTATCATGCCATACCAATACCAAACAATGCCACTTTTTTTCAAATATTCAGGGAAAAAATTAAAGCTTAGACATCCCAAAAATTCACACAATTTATCAGTTTCATATATTTCATACTAACGCCGTCCCGAATTGCACTTTTTAGTCAAGTAATTAGGATATCACTTTTTAGTTATATTCCAATTTGGATAGATAGTATTAGGATATCAGTTTCTTTTTATTCACTTAATTAGGATATCACTCTTTAATTATATTTTAATTTGGCCTTTCAAAAAAAGTACTTCATATATTCTAATGTGGATTTTGTAATTCTGAAGAGATTTTAATGTAGTTTTTAAATTTGTAAATTTTAATAATTAAACATTGTATTAATTATCATTAAGGAGGACTTAACATTAACATGACCAAAAAATGTTTACTTTGCAAATCAATTTGGGATGAATGAGGTAATTAATAAATTTTAGATAAACTATAGTAGTACAAATTTAAATAATTAAGGCTAAAGGGTCAAATAGGTACATGAACTAACTTAAAGTGTTCAATTAGCCCCTTATATAGGAGGTTCTGCCCGGCCGTCACCAATTGGGGCGGTTCCCGGTGGAGTTTTTTAATGAAATTTTTTAAGCATCTTCTTCATTAAGTCTAGTTTACCCATACCAAATTTCAGCTAAAATTTCAACCGGGAAGGCAATCAAATGATTTTTTGAAGATAACTGTGCAGTTACACAGCGCAATACGTTTCGGAAAATTCCTTCCCGATTTAATTTTTAGCTGAAATTTGATATGGGTAAACTAGACTTAATGAAGAAGATGCTCAAAAAATTTCATCAAAAAATTCAACCGAAAACCGCCCAATTGGCGACGGCCGGGCAGAACCTCCTACATAAGGGACTAATTGAACACTTTAAATTAGTTCATGTACCTATTTGACCCTTTAACCAATAATTAAACCATACTTCGGTCCCATTCGGTCATGTACCGGTTCTCATTATATGAGAATCCTTCATAACATTGTTTGGAATAGTACGGTTTGATTTGGGACAAAAAAATTTGAAATCCGTTTCGAACCCCATTTATCGGTCTGCTACCATACCGATCTAGTTCGGTACCATGCCTGTACAATATTTTTCTCCACGTCTAGTTTATGCTCAAAAAGGCTGAAATACAAACAAGGCCAATACGCTCATTAGAGGCGGGGGGTATGTGACTATGAAGGAGCAGAAACAGAAGTCGAAGTATTTGGGTGAAAATGCTTAAGTGATTCTTGTGTTCTAATTTATTTCTAGAATCAGTTTTCTCAAAAGTTGGAGAAAACCAACTTTTGAAAACTGATTCTGATTCTGTTTCTGCTTTAGGGGGTGTTTGGATTTGATTCTTAAAACTGATTCTGCTTCTTGAGGGAGCAGAAGCAGAAGCTGGAGTGTTTGGGTGAAAGTGTAAAAGCGATTCTGGTACTCAAATTTACTCCTGGAATCAATTTTTTAGAAGTTGAGGGTGACCAGCTTCTGAAAATTGATTCCGATTCTGGTTCTAATTTAAGAGCAGAATTATTTGTAAACACTACTATGTCAACACGACATTGCTACAAATGTCACTGGATTTTTTCCTCTTGATTTTATTTAAAAAAAATCAGGAAAAGTACTTGACCGGTGGAAACAGTGCGGCAGCGGTGGGCTAAATATTAGAGAGAAAGAAAGAAAATTTGGATAATTCAAAAAAAGAATAATAAATTCTTTGAAAAAAACTACTCTGTATTCTTCAGTCTTCACCCCCAAAAAACCCATTCTGTAGTGCGCAATCTATTTTTATTGTACGCATGTGATTCTTTGTTTGAATGTTTCGATCAATACTACTTCAAATCTGTTGGCTCGGCACCATAGTGAGAGGTTAGTCATTTTCTGGTTTTCTTAAGTAGGCTTTTGGAGTCTCGGTGCATATACGGCTAAACTCATTCCAATTCCAATTCGAATATCATAAATTCAAAATGCACACGCCAAGGCAGTATGTTCAATCCTTCCGCATTATTAATAGCATGTCAGTTCATATTCCGCCGACGCTCAAACGTCTTCTACACTTGGCCGATTTTTATATATGTCACTCTACATAACCTCGTAAAGTTTTAGGGTTTGCTCTTAGTTCTAATTCATTTTTTCTTTAATTTGATTATGCTAAAGCAGGAAATCAAAGCTGTCTAAGTTATTATGGCGAGAAGAGATAGAATCAGTCAGCTGCCGGAAGATGTACTTGACCATATTTTGGGACTATTGCCTATCCAACAAGCTGCTAAAATTGCAGTTTTGTCTACGGTTTGGAGAGATCTCTGGACCACTCTCACTCAGCTTTGCTTTGATTGTCACTTCTTTGAGTACTTTAACAGAAAGTATAGGCGGGCTAGCAAATATGTCAGGAAATCTTCTGCGCTGTATGTAATCACAAAAATTCTCTTGCAGCATAAGGGAACTATTCGGAAATGTGTCATTCATTTATCTCTTTCTGGAGATCTTATTGTGAGGTCTCGCTCCTTTGACTTTGATCAGTGGTTACATTTAGTTACGTTTAAAGGTGTTGAAGAATTCCACCTGAGGTTTGGGAGAGCATACAAGCTGCCGAATTGTATCTTTTTGTGCTCAACGCTGAAGAGCTTGCATCTTCATGGTTTCTCCATTGAACCATTAAATCTGCCTCGCACATTTCCGCCTAATCTCACATCTCTATATCTCGCATATGTTGACTTTGGTTCCACAAATCTTTCTAATTATGTTGTGGATGTTCCTATGCTGGAGAATCTGTCATTTTGGAGTTGTGCGAATATACCAGATTTCAAAATTACTGCTAGAAAACTTTGCAGTTTGGCAATTAATGGCTGGTATTATAGTCAACTCAACAAATCTCCCAGGCTCAACTTGGACTTCAAATCTATCTGTACTCTTGACTTGGACAGTTCGTCTCTCCAGGTATTTTAGCTACACTTTTTTTCTGGCCTATAATCTATTTTTGGCCTAATACACAGTACATTTGATATGGTCCAACTTGATTTTACATATGGTTTCTAAGTATATTGTTGAGGAAAGTGCTACAAGAGAACAGCTACTACAGCCTCATGCACTGAATGTGGAACTGTTGAAGGTATCACGATTTTGTTTCCAAAGGGATGTTGTGACCTTTGCATTTGTCAGCTTGCTATGCATATGCCCGAAGTTATATAAACTGGAAATAAGTTTTACGGTAATAAATTTATCACTTCAGTTTCCTGTACAAAGATTTAGTAAAATTCTGGTTGTTTCCGTGTTCTGCATTTCTTCACTTTTTTTTGCTTGGGCGCTGAACATTTGATATCTTCCTCTTGTTTTTGTTTTATTTAGTATGAAGAGGATACTACCAAGGCTATAGATGCTACATCGAACCTATTGAAAAAGCTTTGCAGTGTAGTTCGAACATATGATGGACTTCTCGTTTTGAAACTTTGCTCATTCAGAGGATTTAGGTCTCAAATGCTTTTCATTAAGGAGATGCTGGCCAATCTTCCATCACTTGAAACGGTTCTCTTTATCAATGACTGTATTTATGACAGCAATAAGAAACATGAGATCATGGAGGAAGTTTTGTGTTTTCCGCGTGCATCTATTAAAGCAAAAATTGTTTATTAGCAGCTTATCTTTCCAAATTGTTGAATATACTACAGCACTACTGCACTAGTACAAACTACAAATAAAGCACTTATTGTAGGAGCCATATGCCTATTGAATTGAAGGTAGTCTTTTTGTGCGGTAACACTCGAGGCAACGTAAATGTTATGTTAAACATTTATGCTACATGGAAGTTATGTTTCTCTGTTAAGACTTGTATGAATTAATGCCTTTTTATCATAATGGATTTACATATGAAATATTAGGATGTTTTTATTTGGATAGTTTTCAATTCCAGACCAAACTTAGACAATTAAAAAATACACAGAGACCAGACATTTATGAGAGCAGATCAGACATACTAGAGGAGATCAGAACATTCCATTCTAAGTTAAACATCCTTAGAGTGCAAGTTTTATACAGAGTTTTTTTAATATCATGGAGCAATGATACTTTTTTGTTGTGACAGGAGGTTTTATATGTCATGTCTATTTTTGATTTATGAAAAGCAAATTGCAGTTTGTATTTTGAAAACAATTTTGAAAAGTGAGAAAGTGATGACTATTTTAACTTTTAAGTCTACTTGAGAAAAATTCCCAAGTTGATGTATGAATTCGGGCATCCGGTCTCTCGTTATTGGGCTTGGACAGTGGTCCACATGCGTTCAACATATATTGTTTATATATATTACGTAGTATTATACACTTTATGCAACTATTTTGTATCTCTTAGATTAGTTTTTATTTGGTTGGGCCTATTTAGAGGAGAAAAACATAATACTCATAATCTTACAAATTTCTATTACATTGTTTTATTCCTATTTCGGAAATTTGTCCTTAGATATTATATAGATAAAAAAAATTTGCATCTTGATCGAAATACACTTAAATTTGCCGAAAATACCGATTCTTTTTCGAGATAATGCAAATTAAAAAAATAATTACGAAAGTATAGTTGGGTTAAAACTTATTACGAAAATATTGTTGGGGCGAACCAGGGTTAGCGTAAGCCGCCAACCCAGGTGGCGATTTCAAAGTCGCCAACCAAGGTAGCGGTTTCAAAGTCGCCAACCAAGGTGGCGGTTTCAAAGTCGCCAACCAAGGTGGCGGTTTCAAAGTCGCCAACCCAGTTGGCATTTTTCTTTTAAAATATCACACCCCCAGCCTGTCTTCGCAAATGAACTCTGCGCCCAAAAACTCTGTTGGTGCGAACGACGACGGCCGCGAGGGCTACGAAAACGGATTTCGAGCAGATTTTTGTCGCTTCCTGCACACTTTCTCCTACTACTCTTCCAGGTATTTGAGTACTTTAACAAAAAGTATAGGCGGGATAGCAAATATGTCAAGAAATCTTCTGGGTTGTATGTAATCACCAAAATTCTCTTGCAGCATAAGGGAACTATTCGGAAATGTGTCATTTATTTATCTCATCCCGGGGTACTTACGCTGAGGTCTCGGTCATTTGACTTTGAGCAGTGGTTACAGTTAGTGACGTTTAAAGGTGTTGAAGAAATCCGCCTCAATTTTGGGGATAAACACAAGCTGCCGAGTTGTATCTTCTCGTGCTCAATGCTCAAGATCTTGCATCTTAGTGGTTTCTCCATTGAAACATTAAATCTGCCTTGCACGTTGCCGCCTAACCTCACATCACTTTTTTTTGAATATGTTGAATTTTGTCCTACAAATCTTTCAGATTATGTTGTTGATGTTCCAATGCTGGAGAATCTGACATTTAGTAGTTGCAAGAATATATTTCACTTCAAAATTACAGCTCGAAAACTTTGCAGTTTGACAATCAAATATTTCTATCGTAGTGAACTCAGCCTCAGCATCGACTTAAAATCTATCTGTACTCTTGAGTTGGATAGTTATTCTGTCCAGGTATTTTAGCTAGACTTTTTTTCTTGAATGCGATATATTTATAACCTAATACTCCCTCCGTCCCTTAAAGGTTTGCCATGTTTGACCGGCACGTAGAATAATAAAGTAAAAACTGTGTGATAGAAATTTGTGCAGAGGAGAGAGAAATAACAGGAGCCACAAATTGATCGATTAAAAGAGAAAGTGGCAAAGTTTTTGGGACAACCAAAAAAGGAAAGTTGGCAAAGTTATAAGGGACGGAGGGAGTATAAAATAATACATTTGAAGTGATATATGTGACTTCAATACCATATGGTTTCCAGACAATTCTTGGCACAGGTGCTACAATGGGACATCGACTTCAGCAGAATGTGCTAAATGTGGAATTGTTGAAGCTATCAGCACTTCATTTGCAAAGGGGTGTTGAGACCTCTGCATTTGTAAGCTTGCTATGCATATGCCCGAAGTTACACGAACTTGAAATATGTTTTTGGGTAATAAATTTATCACTTCAGTTTAATGTACAAGGATTTAGTAAAGTTTTGGTTGTTTCCATGTTCTTCTGCATATCATTATACCATGGGCGGATCTTCTTAGAGGCCTGGTCCCCCTCCCAAAAAATGTTATATATATGTATAAAAATTAATTTGCCCCCCACTCCTCCAAAAAAATAGGTAAACCTCATATTGGGCACCCAACAGTATGAAGTTCATAAATACTTTTTGTGTGTGGAATATAATGCTGAGCCTTTGATTTGTTGCTTTGTGTTTTTGCTTTTATTTAGGGGACAGAGGATACCACTAAGGCTACAGATACTACATCAAAGCGATTGAAAAAACTTTGCAGTGTTGTTCAAACATACGAAAGGCTTCACATTTTGAAGTTTGCCTCATTCCGTGGATTTAAGGCTGAAATGCTTTTCATTAAAGAGATGTTGGCCGGTGTTCCCTCACTAGAAAGGGTTATCTTTATGGGCACTTCTATGTATGAGTATGACAGCTACAAGAAACATGAGATCATCGACGAAGTGTTGTGTTTTCCGCGTGCATCTACTGAAGTAAAAATTGTGTACTAGCAGCTCATCTCTCCAAGTTATTGAATGGAAGGTAGTTTTTTGTGCACTAACACTACATGCAATATATATGGTTATGTTAATCACTTATGATATATGGATGTTACGTTTTGTGCAAAAACTTCTATGGGACTATGCATGACAATGATTTTTTTTTTAAAAGGTTTACGAATGCTGTATTATATATACTTCAAGTTTTTTTGTATACTCCGTATTTGGCAGGACGGGAATGATGTCCTAACACTACAAAAAAAACACGGGATTAGCACGAATTTTGGCAGGGATTATGCCATATACGTGCCAAAAACACTTGGCACGAGCTATTTGACTCGAAAAATCGGTAATTCCGTGCCAAATTCCGTGCCAAATTCCGTGCCAATCTCGTGTTTTTTTGTAGTGTAACAGAAAGTAAAAGCATTAGAATTATATCTCTGTGTTTGTGTGAGTTATTATTGAAATTCAGTATATCGATGAAATTTGAATCAAGGTTCTATGTAAATAACGTGTTGGAGATATGTCCTAGGACAATCATAGTTTATGATTTATCAATAAATATTTAATGCTCATTAATTAATAAAGTTGCAAACTCATTTTATGTTAATTATTATTGTGAGTTTTCTTTATTAATATTTAGTCCCTGAATATTCTGTTTAGTAGCTAATTAAGTATGTGACTTAATTGTGGAATGCTACACTTTAAAATAAACATAATATTCTAATTGTCCCTGGTCTAATATTATTAATTTGGGACATTAATAATTAATAGACCAGTATGTGGATTAACTGATGGCTATATTCCACTAGTCATGGGTATAGAGATATCAAGTTAATAACATAGATGCTTGTTAGGGAACAAGTTCATTGGACAGACCCAACTTGGGGACACTGCTAGGTTATATGTCATCAGTGTTGTCCTCAATAATGATGAGGTGCTATATTCTTATACTTGAGATAATCATGGTTACTAGCATGAGAATTAATATGTATTAACACCATTAAATGTTATCTTTAACTGGATAATTATAAAGGTGGTGATTGTACATATTATGAACCATGTAGTAGTATGTGAATTATCAAGATAGTTTTTGTCACTCTTGTACATCGAGAGAAAGATATCTATTGGGCCCCTTGACAAGTAAGATTAATTAGCATGGCCATGCTCAAATGAGGTGTCATTTGATCAAGATTAATCTTACTTGGTAATCAAGAAATATTAATTGAGAATAACAAGGATGACACGACCTAACCTTGTCTCAATTAAGATATCGTTTGACAAAAGAGAATTGTTAGCACAAATTAATCATTAAAAGGTTATGTCAGATTTAATTGACATTTATATATTTTGGATAGTCATAATGCCTTGCTAGAGACCGCTTATGATTTGTGAAGCTCGAATTAATTTCTAGCCCACTACCAATAATATATAAACCTACAGGGTCACACACCTAAGTGATTTGGATCATTAATGTTTGTTAATAACATTAAAATAGCTTGATTAGCCCAATTCGAAATAGGTTTTCGAATGGTATTGGGCTAGGGCCTCTTTAAGGGTTTTATTAGCCATAAAACCCCTTCTTTACTCCTCTTATAAATAGGGCCATATAGACCCACGAATTTCAAGAGTTAAAATTCACTTTTTAAACCTAGAGTAGGGAGGAAGAAAGAAGAGAACGCTAGCACGTTCCCTGCGGCCGATCCAGTCACGTGCGTGTGGATACCGGTAGAGCTCGGGATCGTTTTCTCGGACTGTCTGACATCCCTGATTAAGATTGTTATGTAAGTCCCTCTTAAATTCTTGTAATTTCGTTTATAATAAGAACCTCAGATCCGTTTGTTTACTTTTGGGTAGTAAAATTTTTTGTTTATTCCGCTGCGTTTTTCTGCCCGAAACCCAACAGTGGTATCAGAGCCTATGGTTCTTTATTATACTCGGGTTACACGATTTGATGTATAATCTATAATTTGATTATTTTGGGATTTATTTTCGGAATTAATTTTTTATTAATTTCGAAATTATTGATTTATTAATTTCAGAATTTATATGTGTATGTTGTATTCTGAAATTTTATAAGGATGTGATATTCGAATGATTCGAACTTGATCCAATATATATTCACAATAATATTTGGAATGTTTTGTGATAATATTTTTACGAACCAGATTTGAATAGATTAGGAATTGGATGGGATCCTACAGCCTAATTATTCGGAAGAGATCTGAATGGACATGAAAATTCAAGAGTTTGAATTAGATCCAACTTGATACTTATAATGTATGTTTCATATTCGGAATAACTTTTGAGTATAACTAGGATTTTGACTTGAAATTTGGA